TTTCTCTCTCGTTTCTTTCAAGGATCATCAAAATATTGCTATTCATGATATCAAAGTACTATTCTCAAAAACAAAGAGCTAATGAAATTTCATGTTGTGGTTCAACACACATTCTTCATTCTAATATAACATCAGAATGCACATAAAACATATCAACCACCAAATGTATGTCAAATCAGAAACATCATAAATAACCACCTAATCAGATGCTCGTCTCAAACGTTGTACCAAAAAATAACAAAGATTCTCGAACAAGAGAAATTGAGTTCTGTACACAAGAAAGAGGCAAAAAAAAAGCTCGAAATTTTGCTATAAGCATAGCATAGTTTTTTCCTCTTTTCACCACAAATAACATCCAAATTGCACACTTATAGGAGAACATGTAAATATACAAAATATCGAACAAACTCAAGAGGGGAAGCAAAAATACTCCATCGATTGTTAAAAGAGAAAAATGGTTTTATTCACCATATAGTGGTTCATTCTTGACGAGCCGAATCTTAAGAACCGAGAACTCTTTCAATGGCAGCCACATAGAACTCCTTAGGCATGGTTCCAACAACAGAATCGAGTTTTTGGCCGTTTTTGAACAGCAAGACAACTGGCACAGCCTTAACGTCATAATCCTCCGCGACTTTTGGGTCATTGTCGGCATTAAGGACGTAGCATTTTAATCTTCCCGAGTAGTCAGTCGATATCTCGTCGATTACTCGGTGGACCATGCGGCAGGGCCCACACCAGCTGGCGTAAAACTCGACTAGCACGGGGATTTCACTTTCTAGAATCAGTTTGTCCCATGACTTGCTCGTAATCACAGCAGCTGCACGTTCAAAAAAAAAAAAAGAAAAAGAAACAAATTAGGAAAAAAAAAACAGAAAGTTGGTAATATTTGCAAGAGTTGGATGGATTAAAAGAAGTTGCATGAGTGTTTATTTGAGTAAGAGTCAACAACAAGGAATAAATTAAAAAAATATATATATAATACGTATTTTCATATTTCGATTGATTTGCACAATAAATGAAGCAAACATCTCGAAATTTCAAGAACACACCTCCCTTTAAAAAAAATACACACCCTTTTTTCGGGTCTCCCCCAACTCACAGATGCCTATATACTTATGTGTTTATCTTCTTCAGTTGTATAACTGAAATAATTTGCTCATTGACTATTAGACCTTGAAAATGCTAACAATATCAGCAATAAGAATATGGCGAGAGCGCCTTTTTAAGTCCAAGCTATCATTCGTTACACGCAATTTCTAACAAGCCAACTTAAAAATAACGACATTGATATCCTAATTAGGTGGAATCACATATGCCTTAAAATGTAAAAACACAACCGCATATCATAAAATGTTCCAAATTCTCTGAAGCATCTATACGAATGATACCTATGATACACGACATCCGAACACGTGAAATTACAGTAGTCTGCGACTGAACTCTTGAGAAAAGACATGCTGACAGTAGAAAATATATACTTCAGCATGTGTTTTCTTATTGTCTTTCTTGGATACTTACATGGTTTCTATCATCAATCATCAATTTTTCGTCAATCCATTCCTAGGTGATAGTTCTTGTGAATCCCAGCGATCTCGGATTCATTGTGGGGGCAGATTATTACAAATACTAAATCGATAATCGTAACAAAGACAGTAAAAGACAACGGTGAAATGAATATTCATTCATATGAAAGTGCATTTTCATTAATGGAAAACTCAAAATGAAACTTTTCTATCTAATATTGCAGCAAACACATAACAAAAGCAGAAAACATCACCAAGAAGAATGTGTTATAAAAAAAAATAAAAAATAAAAAATAAAAAGAACAAGGAACGCCTAAATCAAAACCCATCGACCTAATTAGGAAACAATCTTCAGATCATAAATCAATTAAAAAAAGCAAAGGAAATACCAAATCCGACAGAATAACCCAATAATAAACAAACAAGCAACAAAGTTCAAATAAATTCTTGAGTTATATATATTTACTTTCGCGATTATCGCCAATGCAGGAAACACGTACGGATTTACGAGCCTCGGGCCTCCTCTGAGCCCGAAACGAAAGCCCGAATCGGCGACCTAACCGCGGGGGACCAGC